GTTACCATGACAACAGATCAGGGCCAGGTTGGTTGAAAAAAAAAATTACATTTAATTTGACCCTTATTATTCTTGGCTTAATTTATTTAAATCTGCAATATCATAGGGTGGATTATTTTTTTGAAAGACTTTAAGTAATGGTAAGTTTATGTTTATCTTTTTTGTGTGAAATCATGTTTTTCAAAGATTCTTTGTTGAGACCATAGAGATGTCTTCCTATGGATGTAGAAGGTCATATACACGTATGGCCAGAGCTATACCTCATATAGAACTGTACGTGATCAACAGGCTATTTCAAATTATCTTTATTTTCACACATTTCCCACCCACTCCTCTACCTCTCAGTTTACTTTTAGCCATGGTTACAGTTGAGTTAAAGAATGGCTTTGTATGTCCACATTGTAGTGGGACCGCTGCCTGTTCGTGAATTGCCTTGTTATAAGTTGTGTGTTTCCCTGCTACTTCGTATAAATGTGCCTGCTCCCTGTTCGGGAGGTTTTCCACAAAGGGATTTAATTCACCTCCCAAACGGGGACCACCCCGATACCTCATTTAGAATGTTGGTTTAGAACGTTCGCACCTCGTAACAAGGTGTCAAAACCACAAACCTCAAGGGAAGCCTCGGCGTGTGCCTCCCCTGGGTGGCAGACATTTCGTATGGGCAAACGCCATTCAGGGGGAGCATTCGCGGATTGGTTCCCGAATGAGGACCTTCACATGCCCATTGGAATGTTCACACCAATTAACTAGAACGTTCACAATTCGCAACATAAGTGTGAAACCGCAAGGGAAGTAATTGCTTCCCTGGGTGGCCGACGCCGTTCATATAGACGAGCGCCAACCAGGGGGAGTATTCATACCCCGAAAGGAGATGCTTCCCTTGCCTGGTTTCACACGGTGACACCGCAAACAGAGGCTGTTCGAGGCAGGTACTGTTACGGGGGTCCCTGGGGATTGGTATGGACATCCTTTGGGGACAATGGCGGGTTTGGCGGGCTATCTGTACCTGGTGAACAAAGAGGCAGGGGTTTTTCCCGGCGCGGTGCTTCCCTGGTACAAAGGCTCATGGGAGGAAGATGCTGAGTGGTGATCTTTCCATGCCTGGGAGACAACAAAGCCCCCCCCCCTCTCCTGCGCTTTGGCACCCAGGCATGAAGGATCCTGGGAAGACCTCCTGTGTTTGGGTGGCGGGAACAATGAAAAAAGGGACCAGAGTTCTGGTCCCACGCCTGGACCCCTGGGAGGGGACAATGTCTTTGTGTGGTGTCCACCTCTTGCATGGGGAAAAGTATAAAGCCGAGTGTGGCTAATAAAGTTGTTGTTGTACCCCTGTAACTGTGTGTCGTCCAGTTACTGGGGGAGGAATGGGTCTCTGCGTATGTTAACCAGTTCCATTCCAGGTTACTGCTGTATCTTGGCTTAGGTAACCGAACGAGCTACCCTGGCCTGCTACACACATCTCACTTTTTGTGCACATTTGAAAGAAGTTGCTGTATTAGTGGGGAGTAACTCTTCAAGTGAGAATCCAGAAAGAAATAAGACAGAAATGTTTCACGGTGTCTCCGTTCTACCCTGATATCATCCGTCCTATCGTAATATCAATAAATCTTATCAATAGGAATGTTATTTATTTTTAACACGGTCCCACAGCCTGATTATTACAGGAGCTGTTGGAGCAGCAGCTGCAGACCCATTCTTTGAAATAGGCCTGTTAAGACACACAGGAGTGAAACCGCCGTTTAGTTAAGCTTCCCCCTCCTCAGTAATGCAGGCTCACTTTGTACATACCTCAATCGCACGAACTGCAGCCAGGGGAATGCGCTAATCTCCCGAACGGGATCCGTACGAGTTCTCCAAACTCCCGAACAATAAATCCACGAATCGCGGCTAACCGCCGAACAAATATATCCTTCAAGCGGCTTAGGTTTCCAGCAATCAGTCGCTAACCGTGTGTAGTAAATCCCCCCAATAACAAGACCAAGCTCCGCATTGAGGGTAAAACAAGAACTGGCTTTACTGTGGGCTACCCGCTCGTATTTATGCAGGTCTCCCACCTGGTGGACACTCCCCTAGGGGACCAAATGGGATACTGTAGTTACAGACAGACATGTAGCACTTTAGGACATACAGGCACAGAATATTCCCACAATGCATCCTGGTTTCCTCCCCTCTGCCCTGGAGATAATTGAAAAGTAATTCAATTATCTCCCAGGACAGAGACAAATCGCCATTTTAAATGACATATTAAAAATACATAAAAATTAATAATTATACAAATACCGAACATATTACATTCATGCAACATTTTCCCAGATAGCCTGGATCTGAGTGCATATTCCTACCGAATAGCGCTCAGATCCCATACGCACAGTTCAATCGCCATGTAGTCAAAGTCTTTTAAAGGTCTTTTGGTATGCGATTGACTCCATGGGACGGCTATCTGGGTTAAGTCCATTCGTATAATCCAAACTCCCGAACAGACGGTGTTCGCATGCCTTGATGAATGGGAAGGGCGGTCGGAAGTCTCAGCGGTGTTCGGTAGAAAAAGTGTCAGTTTTTAGTTCCATAGAATCTGTGCCGAACACCGCTGGTCTTTCGCATGGTTTAAAATGGCCACCGCCTCGTGGTTGGCATTCGAACGACGACCACCCTGCATTCGGTTATAATTAAGAGGTGTCTGCGGTTAACCACAACGTTCTAATTGAGGCCAAGAGGTTAACCAGCAGCACACTTCTCTGCTGGGTGGCCGTCCGTTCAGTAGTTTCATTTGGTGATAAGTCCAAAACGACGAATAGGGGCATACGGACAGGCAATTCCGCGAAAGGAGGCAAACTATACGAATCAGCCACACAAGTCTTACAGATGGATCTGTCACAAGGCCTAAAGTTGCCACTATGGTAAATGATAAGTCCATTCATTATATATTGAAATTGTATTTCTTATGTACTGTGAGCACAACCAAAGATATGTAACATTGCAATCGTACAGGAAGTAGATCACGTTAGATTTTCTACATATCACACATATAATTTGTACCAGCTGCCATGACAACTGAAAATACAACTTCTTGCATTATTTCTGTCAAACTCTCAGTTTCAACCCCAGGATAACCTAAAATAGATAATCAGGGGACCCCCTCATCCACAACTGGTGTTTGAGATTTCATCCAGTAGTTGTAAAGTCATTTATTGTAGAGTCTCTGTGCAGTTTAACGTGGCGTCCTGTAAACCCACCCAGCAGGGTGACATTAGCACAGTGTGTCCTGCTCTACAGTTTATTTCTAGTATCACAGTTTGTTAGGATTGGACAGGGAGCAAGGTGTACTTTAGGATGTGTCCCACATTCAGTTTCAATGCTATATATCCGAAGCATCTTGTGACGTTCTACTATGAGCAAATGACATTAGTAGACGGATATGAAACCTTACAGCCAACGCTTTATTCTGTTACCCTTTCAAACCTCAATCCCCTGCTCATAATACACTGTAACTGCCCAGGTCAGGTTGCTCCCCCTGAGTTTGATATAAACGTTAGTTATCAGTTCTTTTCACAAACATGGGCTGAAATGTCCTGTAATTGTTTTCATAGCAAACCAGGAATGCATTTAAACATGCGGCTACATTTAATAAAGAAATAAGCAATATAATTTCAATGTTTGGGGTTTAATTATTGTTTAAAGGGCACGTTTCATTTCCAAATAAAAGCGGTGAAATTATTTTATCATTATTTCCTATTTCCCCACAAATTCTGCTGCACCCATTTCTAGATAAATGTTAGAATTCTGTTTACTGACTGTATCCCATCAGAAGGTAGTGGATTATCGAGTCCCAGTCCAATCTTCGTTCATCCAACCACTAACTCAGGATTATAATGTCAGAACCTAAACACATGGATTCTTAAAGAACTCTTAGGGAAGTAATGATGTTTAATAAATCTAAAAATGCTTCAAGTACTGTTCAAACAAATATATTATTTCTTAAAATTTACTCAACACTGCAAGCCATTGTATACTCACCAGGAGTGAACTCACCACACATTTAGTTAGTGGAAATGTGAAGCCATAATTTGGGGGGAGTGGGAACAATCCTGGTTTAGGGAGTATTTTTAATAACTCAATCTATGCGAGAAGGAAAGGACAAAAAGGCTGCTTCCTCCCCCACATGGCAGGAAAAGGTCAGAACGTGGACAAAAATAACCACTAAGGGGAAGACTGCCCCCTAAATTGGGCATTTGCCCTCCATGTTAGAGATGACAGTAGCACAGAGTGGGCTGAGCAGTGCCAGGATATTTCGACCGTATACTGGAGCTTGAGGCTGTGTGAATCCCTTAAAAGACCCAGCAATAACCTTTACACCTAATTCTAAACAATGAGGATTGAAGCAGCTGGATTGTAATTTCCAATTTGGACAATATTTAAATAAAAAGAACACAATTAAACAGAAACTGAATTTATTTGAAAGCAAACTCAGGATTTTTTTTTTTTTGTCTCATTTTCTCTTTTTTCCTTTTTTAGCAAATTCTATCACATACATGTTAATGCAACAAAAGATTCTGTACAACTGCCGTGATACACAGAGAGGTGGATTGAACACAAGATTTAAATACAAAGAAAGGTAACATGGCGGAAAAAAAATATTACATGCACATTAACCCCAAAGATCCAGCAATTCATCACCGTAAAACGCGTACTAAGCCCTCCCCGACGCAACTTTTACAACCACAGTTCACCCAACATAATCCTTTTAAATATTACCAAAGTCCATTAATAATATGATGCTGGAATACGAAGGGAGACACTCAATAGGCCGATAGTCGCAATATAGAAGGTTCCTCTGAGTTATTGGTAACCCAGGAACAGCAGGAGGCTGTAAGGAAGATTCATGCCTTTATAGTTCTGCAAAACCTAAGAACTACAGTACTTCAAACTAGAGGAGGGGGTTCACTTTACTGATTTCTGCTTCTGTTCTGGATATATTTCACTTAGATAAATACAGTGTTTGAATGGATAAACCTCCCCTCTGGAACTGGGGTCTGCTGGTCACCTAAAATACTGCAAATGACTCCTCACAGCAGCGTGTCAATCACAAAACTTACAGCCACAATGTACCAAACTACCCACATCCAGTGTGCGAATCCCACTACTCACAGCCACAATGTGCCAAACTATACATACAGTGTGCTAGTCACACTACTTACAGCCGCAATGTGCCAATCAAACTACGCACACAGTGTGCTAGTCCTTACAGCCGCAATGTGCCAATCAAACTACGCACACAGTGCGCTAATCACACTACTTACAGCTTCAATGTGCCAATCAAACTACCCACACAGTGTGCTAATCACACTACTTACAGCCGCAATGTGCCAATCACAATACTCACAGCTGCAATGTGCCAAACAACACACATACAGTGGGCCAATCAAACAACGCACATACAGTGTGTAAATCACACTAATCGCAGTCTGTGTATGACAATCACACTACTCTCAGCCTCTATATGACAATCAGACCAGTTGCTGCTACTGGGACAATTAAGCCTCTGTTTGACTGTCAATAAAAAGCAGTCCATTCAAATAAAAAAAGGTCTTTCTTTGGTTGGGTATGTAAGTGTTTTTTTTGGTTCTAGGCATTAACCCTTACGCAATCATCTTGGGGAACAAATTTGTTACGGAAGATATGTTTTGGACAATTGCTGTTTTTGATACTGTGGCAGGAATTGAGAGCTAGTGTATAATTCAATCTATATTTGTATTGGTGTCACACAAGGTCGTGAGGGTATGCTGTTCGGAGACAAGCAGCTCAAAGACTTAATGAAACAGCAGTTTGGAAACAGTTTAATAATGGATATTCGAAAATACCACCACACTTTATTTAACCCATTCTAATCCAAAGACCATTGCTGCAAATCTCATGAATCTGGAGTGCAGCAATAACCTGTGTTATGCCAACATATATCTTTTATCTATGTTCAATGAGAAGAAAAAACAACAGTTGCACTTCATCTGCTGAGCAACTGCAATCCCCACAACCCTCTGCCCTGCCAGGATTAGGGGAATGCAGCACACCTACTTCAGGTGAGAGCTTCAGGTAGGTCAACCCTTCTCTAGAGAAACATGTCACCAGTTCCTGAGCTGCCAGACAAAGTGGAACCCCCTCTTAGAGCCCTAAAAGTTTCTACATTTTGAAAGCTTCAGTTCTACAAGCGATGTGGTCTATATACATTGTGTTTAAATAATGCATAAATAAATCGAGGAAAAAAAAACGTACATTTCACGCCGCTCTCCCTGGCTATGGATAGATTTCTCAGCGAACTGCATGGCCAGCGAGAGGAGAATAAAGAAGTCCATGGGCAATCACATTTTATGCCGTGGCCAGCATTAGGCTAAGTGCTTTGAGTGGCCAAACGCCGCTTGTGTTGAACAAAGCTCATGGAGTCAAGTCTTGCAGTCTTGATCGAGAATGCAGGCGCGCTTTTCAGACATAATGGGATAAGACTTGCGCAACAGAGTAGATGTCCGTGCATTTAATGGCAACCTTAGTCATTCTTACCGCTCCTCTAAATAAAAGGGAATTCACCTACTGAATACATGACACTTTTTCCTTTTCAGCAATGACATCATTACTAGAACAATAGGAGGCGATGGCAGCTTGCTAAAGAAATAAAATTACAAAGCACTTAGGAGAAATTGAATGATTGTGCATTTTAAGAATAAAAACCCCTCAAACCATAAAGAGTTTTATTATGAATACATATCCCTGGGGATTTAGCCCCCAATATTACAAAACATGCACTGCGTGTGTCTAATGGTTGGGTTGATTAGCGTTACATCTTACATCTTGCAGAATGCACTTACTTCACTCACAGTAAATGTTTCATAGCAAATAAAACTAATATGTGATCTCCTCCAAAACAGATCTGGAACAAACATCCGATCTATACTTTTGGCAGGGCTTCACAACTTTCAGAAGGGTTAAAAAATAAAAAACTGAAATTTTTTGTAAATAGAGATCAGATTGGGTGTGTAATGTGTGTTAACGAGAAAGAGGTGGGATTTTATATTAAGAATATTTCTGCACTCTTTGTCATATACTTTGCCTTTAATTGGTGTAAGTTACAGTTTGTGTAACCTAGATTCAATGAGGAGTTATTACCAACAGCCATAAAATCAAGTCGCCAAATATTTACAACATAAAGACAGAAGAAGAAAAAAAGAAAAAGAAAAAAAAAAGAACACAAGAATCGGTCTTTAGAGTGCAAAACATAGGCTGCAAATTCTAACGACAATGTGTCTCAATACTAGATTCTGGTCGCATACGAACAGGCTTTTTATGTTGATTACTTAAAGCACAATCCAGTCTCACCCTACATTCAATGCCAAAAGCAAAAAAACAAAAAATATTCACATAAATGTATCTTTTTAAATAAAATACTGATTGCAACAGAGACTGGGATGTGACGTTGCAGAGAGAGGTATGACGGAGGCACTGCTGATGGCGTCCAAATCTCACGACTCTTTTTTTCTCTTTATTCAGCAGATCCCAGCTCGCAGATTGGACAAACACCGATTTCTTGACTAATTAAACCCATTCAGGCCTGGAAATCCTTGTTGATGTCTCCAGTGTAGAAGTTATTTTCTATTAGTGTAAAAGACATTTAATGGTCCACCGCTGAAATCAGCCTAAATCGTGGGTGTGCCCTCTGGCAGCCATTCTGTAAAGTGACCAAGCATTGACCACGTCCACTAACTGTGTGTGGAAACATCTGAAGAAGAGCTGCTGTTGCTGTTGGTTGTCTGAGCTCTTTTTATGTACAAATTCAGCAGTTTCATCTGAAAGAGAAGATGGAAATCGTTTAGGGTCATCAAACAATCGTTTGGGTAACAGCAAAAAATAACAAAATTTGGCAAACTGGCAAAACGAATGAATTTGTCAGTCCATCTGAATGATCAGTTTCTCCATTTATTAGACAACAGTAAACACACATCACCCAGATATTACAATCCACTTTTAATTCTATTTTCTGTTTTGAACACCAACTACCATTACCTAGATAGGGATATAAGAATATCAGGAGGTTTCAATGAATCTAGTCAGATTTAGATTAAAATGTCAATGTGTATCGCAAAAACAGGGAAGCTGTGTAATGACTAACACAAGATAACCGGTCAGTTATGGCACATCTTCACTTGTCATATTCTCTAATATGCTTGGCCAGGGTTAAAGGGTTACACCAAGCACTACTACCATTTCAGTGATTTGAAGCGGTCATGGTGCATGAGCAGTGTTTTGCTTTGAAACTCAGCACATACAGAGTTGAACCCCTTTGCTGTAGGAGGCATAACCCTGCTTCTCCGGCAGGCTCATTCTGTGCTGGATATTCTGTGCATATTCCTCTGCACAAGGTTGCATTCATTGGCTGATAGGTGTCAGTTGATTCTCTCAGCCAGTGAATGGTGTTCATCATTGGCAAAGATGGGTAACTGTGTTTTTCACAGAAAGATTGTGTGCGTATATAGTCGCAATCACTATAGAAACCAATGGAATGTTCCTGTTGATTGTTCCACATTTACAACATTGCTCTCTCTCTCTCTGTTTTGTATACAGAGCAAATCTAGAGCAATGATGTAAATGTGGAACAATCAAAAGGAACATTGCATGGGTTTCTACAGTGATTGCTCCACTTTTAGAACTTTAGCCTAGAACAGCTTTTGTCTGTCATTGTCTAAATGATAGTAATTTATTTTTAATTTGGACTGTGGAGTGTTCTGGTAAGCTTTTCACCTAGGGCTAGGCCCATAGCTACATAAAATGATCCTGGAGAGCTGCTGTGGGATAATATAGGCACGAAAGGGGAATCTCACGAAAAAGTGTAAATGCAATAAGAGTCATACCTTGCTTCCTGTAAGCTGTGCAAGATAAGGTTTTAATTCTTCTCCAATCACAGAATAAATCGCTACCAGACAGAACACGCTGGCCTTACGCACGCTGCTTTCTGTGTTGTCATACCCCTAAAAGAAAATGTAAATGCATTGTTTAAAACAACATATTACAGCTGTATACCTGTAAATGGAAAGACCACATGCATTATTTTGTATGCACTCTCTATCCAGCAACACTGAAGCGTGGTTCTTTACAGCAGACTGTTTATAGTATAAGTCTAACTTTTTTTTCTAATGCCTTCTGTATGTGACAAAAATAATATCCCTTCTTCTACAATATTTCACCCAATGTAAAATATTGCAAGACATGGGATACTATAATATACTGAACTTTTATACCCCAGCAGTTTTGTAAATAAAAAATTAATAATATTGCTACCCATTATAGAGCCCTTCTGAAGTTCCCCGCTACTGTGCAAGTACTAGTTGGCATACCCCCCATTCAAGAGACTCCCTTCAATCTTCACTTAAACATCTCTGGATATTTAGCCCTTTCCACAAGGCAGTTCTGTGTTCACAAGAAATTTGTTAAAGATGTATCCAAAATTATTTTCTTTATGATAATACGTCCATCTAGAATTCATAATCTAGGTGTCAAATGTAAAACAGTTTACTGGTAAAATCACTGTATAACCTATTCCCAACTCCTGTTCTATTTTAATTCCAGTTTCAAGGAGATGTAATGCACAGCTAATATTCTTCTAAACTGAAAGAGAAACAAGCCACTTCTTAATCAGAGTTCGAGGCTCTGTGCATTAAATGAAAAGCGTAGAGATGCTGAATTATTGCACTTCTAATCACTCAGGCAGCCTGGAGAAAGCCCCCACCGCCTGGAGCAGACACAACCAACAGTGGTCCATGCATTTCCCTAGAAGCTAGCTAAGAATCATGAGAAATGAAGTTCACAAATACATGTAACCACCCTATGTTTAGCAAGGCAGATATACCAATTGTTCACCCCATGTGCATTCCCATTGTGCCACTTTTTCTGCTCCAAAAGTAAAACATTTATGTGCTGGGAGACACCTTGAAATTTGGATGGATGTGTTCAGAAAATGCAATAATTTGTTATTTCTTTAGGAATAATTTGCTCATTTTATTTTTAAAAACAATTTTCTCCCCTTTCACACACATACATGCACACCCGGTAAGCTTTATCTGTAAATCAGTTTAAACCCGAACACGGTTCATGCTGCCGTGTAAACAAAACCAGCTCAGAGTTATATGTGCAGCTACAGCATAAACGGCATGCAATAAAGTTATAGGGGGAAAAAAATTCCTTTTTAAAAAGAAAAAAACTGGAATTGTATATAAAAAGCAACTTGGGGCAAATTTCTAAAAATGGAGCAATCACTGTTGGGGAAAAATTTTAATTTCCAATTCATTGCTCTACATTTGTCACTTTGCCTTAGAATTTTCTTTATGCGCAAGCATCTATCATCTCATGTCACAGCAAATAAATCTCTTGACCATAATATTATTATTATGTTATTTATATAGCGCCAACAAATTCCGCAGGGTGTTACAATGGGTGGACGAACAGACATGTAGTTGTAACCAGA